AAGCATGCACTCCTATCACGAAACTTTCAATACTCGTATAAGTCGCAAACAGCTTATCAGAAGACACTTATAAACAGGCAACATATCCTAAGTGTCATTCAACTGTATTCAAGTAGGAATAATAGACAAACCATCTAGTAGATTGAATTGACAAGAGGGCCATGATGGCCCTGAGGTCGCTCACCTGTTTATAGGCCCTGGAGCGGGACCAGTTTAAACCCCAGGGCTTTTATTTGAACAAACTTGGAAGACACCCATTAGAAGATGTTTTATGATGTTAATTTTTTACTAGACACATATAATGAAAAACAATGACCTCCTCCTTGCCCCTCGGACCCATTTTAAACCAAGGGCTTTTATTTGAACAAACTTGGTAGACACCCATAAGAAGATGTTTCATGCTAAACATCTAAGCTCTAGCTCATTGGATTTTTTAAAAGAAGATTTTTAAGTTCTTGCTATACACATACAGTTAAAAACAATGACACCCCTGGGGCGGGGCCAGTTTTGACCCCAGGGCTTTTATTTGAACAAACTTTGTAGTCACTTACTAGAAGATGTTTTATGCTTAATATCTAAACTCTAGCTATTTTGGTTCTTTCATAGAAGATTTTTAAGTTTTTGCTATACACATATAAGGAAAATCAATGACCCCCGGGGCGGGGCCAATTTTGACCCCAGGGCTTTTATTTGAACAAACTTTGTAGACACTCACTAAAAGATGTTTCATGCTTAACATCTAAACTTCAGCTATTTGGGTTTTTTCAAAGAAGATTTTTTAAGTTTTTGCTATACACATATGAGGAAATTCAATGACCCCCAGGGCGGGTCCAATTTTGACCCCAGGGCTTTTATTTGAATAAACTTGGTAGACACCCATTAAACATATTTCTTGCTAAATATCTTTACTCTAGCTCTTTGAGTTCTTTAAAAGAATTTTTGTTTAGTTTTTACTATATGCATATAGGGAAAATCAATGACCCCCTGGGGCGGGGCCAATTTTAACCCCAGGGCTTTTATTTGAACAAACTTGGTATACACCCATAAGAAGATGTTTCATGCTAAACATCTAAGCTCTAGCACATTAGGTTGATTAAAAAAAGATTTTTTAAGTTTTTACTTTATGCATATAGTTAAAAACAATGACACCCCTGGGGCGGGGCCAGTTTTTACCCCAGGGCTTTTATTTAACAAACTTTGTAGACACTTACTAGAAGATGTTTTATGCTTAATATCTAAACTTTAGCTATTTGGGTTTTTTCAAAGAAGATTTTTAAGTTTTTGCTATACACATATAAGGAAAATCAATGACCCCCGGGGCTGGGCCAATTTTGACCCCAGGACTTTTATTTGAACAAACTTTGTAGACACTCACTAGAAGATGTTTTTATGCTTAATATCTAAGCTTTAGCTATTTGGGTTTTTTCAAAGAAGATTTCTTAAGTTTTTACTATATGCATATAGGAAAAATCAATGACCCCCTGGGGCGGGGCCAATTTTGACCCCAGGGCTTTTATTTGAACAAACTTGGTAGACACTTACTAGAAGATGTTTCATGCCAAATATCTAAGCTCTAGCTCTTTGGGTTTTTTAAAAGAAGATATTTAACGTTTTTTCTTTCGGTTGCCATGGCAACCAGAGTTCTGTACGGAATGGAATTCTTTGAACAACTTTGTTAAGGCTTCACACAAGGAACATCCCTGTAAAGTTTCATTATGATCTGCCTTATGGTTTCAGAGGAGATGTCGTTTTAAAAGTGTGAACGGACAACGGACGACGTACGACGGACGACAGACGACGGACGAAGAGTGATCCTAATAGCTCACCCTGAGCATATGCTCAGGTGAGCTAATAAAACTGTAAATAACACAATCACAATATTAATGTTGAACGGAACGATCTACAAAATTGGAAATACACATCCTTCATATTAAGGATAGCGTTTAAAAGATAAATTTAGAAGAAAAAAACACACACATTATACCTTTAATGCGATTACGTTTTATAATCATTCTGTGCTTACTAATCAAATAGTACTTAGTACTGTAGTCTAACAAGACAAACAATTACAAGCCTTATATTAATATCCACATGAATAATTCTGTTTACAAAGATAATGTAATGTTGTACACAGAGAGACTGAATTTTTGATACCCACGATATCCATTCAAGTACTAAAAGTGATTCATACCTTCCCTTCACCTTTACAATTTAAAAAATGAGTGGTCCAAAGCAAAATTTGAACTCAACCTATATTTTCTGATGTTTTATTTGTGAACTGCTACTGCTATTGCTGCTGCTACAACAAGTACTACAAGTACTACTATTACTAATACTACTAATACTACCACTACCACTTCCACTACCACTACAACTACCACCCCACCACTACTACAACTACTATTATTAATTACAAACTCTTTACCAAGTTTGATTACAATTACTCATTTTTGTCCAGAAACAAACAGTGAGTTTAACCTTGATCCGAAGTGTCCAAAAGCAATCAAAGCGGGGTATACACATAAAGTTGCTTCGTTTGTGGTGGTTATGATAAGATATTACCGGAAATTTTTTATACCTTAACTCTATAACTAAGTATACTATCTGAATAACAAACTATCCAAATTACATTATAAGCAGCAGTTTTCTTTAAATCGTATACTTATTGGAAGTCATCGATGTTATGACTGACAATTTTTAGTTTCTTGCCAATTTTCATAAATATGATAGTTAAAAACCCCATCCAGATAACACTAGGGCAAATAAGAACAAAAAATGAAAGTCGAACGACATAAAACTTTCCTAGTACAATGTAAAATAAAACTGGGCCACACATTTTCCTTTGCATAATGAATAAGCGTTATTACACCAAAATTTGCAATAATTATTGTCACGGCGACGACTAAAGTATCATTTTTGTAAGTTACAACATATTTGAAGTTTCAAATTTGGTTCCTCCTGTGAATATTCGAATATTGTTTGTTAGAAAACTTGCTCAATCTTTATACTTTGTGTACTGTCCAGGCTGAAGAAAAACTAGTTTAATTAAAGCACATTCAAATAAAAAAAAACAGGTAACAAACAATTTTGGAGAACATGACTTATCTTAGTATTTGCTTTATGTCCCTATTCAAATGGAAACAATATATTATTGGAGGAGTACTTTTGGATAGCTGTTTTCCTGACACAGCTTTTCAAATGCTTTAGTAGTAGCTTTGTCGCCAAGTCGCTCTTGACTGGCGTCTTCAACCTCGCAACGCATTCGAACAACACGTTCTTCAAAAACGTTCGGAAGTACATAGGATATATCAATATTCTTGAACTTGAAATAAAGATGCATTAAAACACGTTTTTGTTTAAGCTTTCTCCAGGAATATATCTTTAGATAATGAGAACCATATTTACGATAAAACTTTTTCAATCACACTTTTTAGAAAAGCAAATCAATAAATAATACTTTACACATAAACGACATTTGCAAATGCAATTTTAGAATAGCAGAACACATTAAAATCCCATCTAAATTCCACTACCTCTACGATCTAATTATAATAACGATAATAATGATTATAAATATAACAATAAAAATCATATCGATTTATAAAGATGATGTGATGATAATGATGATGATGATGATGATGATGATAATGATGATGATGATGATGGAAATTACATCAATTATGACGGAAATTAACTTTGGTACTTATTGTTGTTTAATTGTGATTCTAGTAATTGTTGTTATATCGTTAAGTATTGTGTTGATGATTGTGAGGAATTGAGGATGGGGGTGATAGTGTTTGTGTTTCATTCATTTTCATTGCAGATGTTGCACATACTGTAATGAAATTTGGTATATAGATTCAAGATAAAAATCTCTTGGCCAAGGTCTGTTTTTGATACTATGAAGCAATTTTGCCCCTTGGACTTAAACATTTCAACTATTCTCATTTGCCCTTTATTTCTTTGCAGAGGTTGCACATACTGAATACATATTTGTCATAATGGCTTTGGTAGTTTAGCACGGAGGAAGGTAGTCTAGTATTGGTGTAACTCTCCAGGAACGATGGTTAGGAAACTACCCGCCTATATGACTGAAATACTGTTGGAAAAAGGCGTAAAATGAAACAAACAAACAAACAAACAAAAAATTGTCATAAGGGTATCAAGATCAAAATCTGTTTTGGTTTTGTCAGAGTAATATCCCTTGGACCAATTATTTGCAGTTTCCGTTCATTTTCTTTGCAGAGGTTGCACAAATTGAAAAGAAATTTAGGAAACAGATTCGTCATTGTTTTGGGTACCATTGATAATTTTTGACAGCGTTATGATCCCTTGAACTTTCCTGGAAAATTCCAATTATTTATACGCATATCCGTTGCTCATGTATGTCTATCATTAGATTTGCTAAACACATACCATGTGTGCTATGCATATAAACATATTACTCAGACCACTGCTATGCCACTCTTCAACAACAGATGCCAATTGATCAAATGAAATAAGGAATATAATAATAAAAAACAGGTTTGTTGAATATGGTTATCGATAATAATGTATAATCAACAAGTACAGTCAAACCAGTCGAAAATTCTAATATGTGCAACATGTTGATACATCTCAGATAGTACTGGTAAATGACCCCTGTTGAATTTAAGTTCAAAGGGTAAATTCACATTTCCATACACTTTCAACAATGTATACTGCCGTAGGGACGGATAAGTGTTTCTTGTTCTTGTGTGAGTAAAACGTCTATTGTAGAATGACAAAGACTGTACACAACAGATAAAAAGATTACAAAAAGTTGTTTACAGTTGACAATGTTTAGTTAGATGATAGTAAGAAATAATAGAATACATAATAGTAGATCATCATAGCTAAATATATTCAACAAAGGCAATTGTCAAAATCTTTACATTCATTTGAATAAGTGTAACTAATATTTCAGTTTTACAACAAAATAATACTTTTTGTTCAAAACGATAAACAAACGATTTGTATTTTAATGTTATTCCGACTGCGTGATTGCATTTTGACGAGTTTTCTTGATCGTCTACAATACAGAATGTTATGTGGAATGTAACGAAAGCCTCATTTTGATCTCAACAAATCTAAAGGTATTTCTTTAATCAATTTTGAGATTGAATGAAGTAATGCATAGTTTTTGACAAACATACTACTGCTATCAAGAAAACTATGACGCATTATGATTTTTCTTTCGGACGAAGAGAATCGCTAGGAAATATAATTTTTGTATAATTGGATATATAATCTTTACGAACATGAGTACATTAACCAACTTAATCATCTCTATCATGGCACTTAAACTGTGCCTCGAATCACAAATATTCGTGTTTTGGAGAGGGAGGCTTAGTGCCCGTATCATTCTTCACATGAATGAATGCCATTATACATGTATGCTTAAAATATTGCAGTTTTATGATGTTCGCTAAAATATTTAAAAGAATATTCCTAACAATATTTTATTATTATTTATTATTGTGTTCTTTAACTAATAAAGGTCAAGTATTTTCTCGGGTAATCACAATTTCTTGCATACTGGTTGCTAAGACCAGAAAAAAATATCTTTTATTTAAGGTTAGGTGACGTCACTCATGAGAAAAAGCCTGTCAGGAGTCTTAAATGGGCACCGTTTTGCCAATATCTATTTTGTTATTTTACTTTTTGACCAAATTAAAGCTTTATATGTTTATATTATGGCAATAATATTACAATGAAATAGTAGAGTCTGTGCTTCAGTATACCCAGACAAAATTTGCACAGAATTAAAACTTATCTGAAAGCTTATAGTTTTTACATTTAAAAAAATCATAATGGTCCCAAAAGTTCCTTTCCAAGAAACTCCAAAATACAGATGGCGTCTTAAATGATGATATTATATTCTCTATTTGTGGGATTTCTTACACAGGCATCCATTTTTCTTGCTGAAATGTTTGAAAGAAGTAAACACATTTTTTTATAATTTATATTTTTTGATTTGTTGTTTGTCATACCCTTATATGACAACTGAAATGGCTTCTAGGATGACCGCCATGTTTCATTGAAAATATATCTTATCAATATTAAACATGTTTTCTTCGGAAAATGTTTGCATTCTTTGTTGCTGTATTTTCTTTCTTTCATTTATTATGCTTGTTAAGGTTAACAATGGCTAATTTATCTAAAATAACATTATTTCGATGGATAATATTATTATGTAAGTTATATAAATGGGTTTGCTAAAAAATCCAGGATGGCATGTAAGATGAGCGCAAGCTTAATTAAAAAGTTATTGTTTTTATTAATTATCTAGATGTATTTCTTCATTTTTGGCAGGCAAAACTACTGCATATATTCCTTTTTCTATTTTCGTTATATGTGTTTCAAAATGAACAGTTTTAGTATCTGTTTTGATTCAAAAAATATTTTCTATGCCCAAACTCAGAAGATTATGACGAAATTTTTTTTAAATTCTATCTTTTATAGATATTCTTTACACTTTTCACTTGCAATTCAATAATGATTTGTTTTATAATGACTTGTTTCACAGAACACAAGCTGCATTTACTTTTGAAACTGTTACTGGAAGTTTCCATTTAACTAGAATTCTTGGATAATTTTTATTTTTATAGATTGGGGTCAACACTAAAAATTTAGCAAAATTTTGATACTTTGTTGGCTACTTTATAGACATACATTTGTTTCTTATCACAAATTAAAGAGTAATTACTGGAAAGACAATTCCTTAAAATTGTTGAATATTAGGAAAATGTATTACTTAAATTCAAAACCAATTTTAAAGCTGCATGCCTCCAGATGAGCCTAAATATTCTAAAAAAATCAAATTTAAAAAATTGAGAAAAACGCACAACGATTTAAAAAAAATAGAAATATTTACAATTCTAGAAATAATTTACATATTTATGGCAATCATTTGCTGATTCGGTGTTTTGTTATCATATTTCTACTGCGTGATTTATGCAGTGAGGGAAATGTTTTTGGATTTTTCAATTGAGGAAGATTTTAAGTACCGTTTGTAATGTATAAATTACTTTATTTGTTTCCTTATCAACATATTACTTTTAAATATTTTTTTAAATGTTCACGAAAATTCCATGAATATGGACACATGTTCTTTTAAATGTTTAAACAATATGTTTACCCGCACTTTACATTTTCCCCTTCTTCGCTAATTGCCATGCATATCAAATTAAAACGCCTTTTATTGCATATTTCATTTGTAAATATCAAACTGAAATGTAGTTCTTGTGTCTGGTAACTTTTATACGAACAAAAGTGTTTACTTTTACAATGTGTCATAGTCAAAAAAAGACAATATTCATAAATTCAATTAATATGTTACGAGTTACTAAGTTGAGCGCACGAGATACTGCATTGTACTACCGTATAAGTACTTTTTCTGCGGGAACTTTATTTCTGCTATTTGTGCGATTCATAACGACAACGCACAGAAAATTAAGCCTTACCCTATGACTATGTCAGAATATGTCAACTACCGGTATTGTTCATTTCATTACCATGAACTGTTATCGTCTTTTATAGATGCGATTTTTTCTTTATTTATTCGTCATGCATAAAATATTAGAAAAATAGTTAATTTACTTGTTCTTTTTGTTTAAATACATATCATGTTTGTATGATTTTCGCTCACCCTAATCTTGATTTTTTTGTAAAATAAAACTATTATGGTTTGGCGGGTGCAATAAACATCCCCTTTTGTATTTGTATAAGATCTTGTGTCTACGTGCGATTTAACCATTGTTTATTTTTCACACTTCATATTTATACACATGCAGTATTACAATAAATTGTTGTCATTGCACGTTGTTGATTTTTGTTTATAAACGTTTATATACCGATACATGATTATTACAATGAAACACATTATAAGTCGACTGCATGTTTACAGGAAGTAATGTACATGTTACATAAACAAATCTTGAAATGTTTTCTGTTTGTATCTGTTAATTTTGTAAAAATATCTAAATTAAAACGCAGAAATAAAAAATTCATCAATGCGAGTATGATGACATCGTAGAAAATTTAAAACCTCTTAATTTAACAAAAATCGCAGAATATTAAGCCCGCAGAAATAAGTACTTATACGGTATGTCGTGCGCACAGGTTACCTTGGAAATTGTTCTACCAAGTTGTTTTATATGTAAACTAAAATATTGTAACAGAGTGTAACCCAGTCATCATTTTTACACCATCTCATTTTATAAAAACACACAGAAAACATTGTTTATGCTGTAACTGGTTACCGGATCAGATTTGAAAGAATAAGCTTGATGAAAAATTGTTTAAAAAGATATTCTCTAAAATTGACATTTTAATGCGCACTTCATTAATCATTATTTTTTGAAGTACTTTAGTTAAATGGTGAAACTAAATCTTGGGTGTATTGCGGATACTATTGTTTATTGTTACACTTAAACAATTAATCTGCCGTGTTTGTTTTATCGTTATAGAGACCATTTTAAAGCAATATTTTCCTTGATTATATCTCATGTTTATCTCACCTTTGTAAACAGCTCGATAACAATAGAGACATTTTGTTTCTTTTAAATGGTTAACAACTTTAAAATTATTTAAAGCTGTGTTCACGTTAGACATCATGCATATTTCTCTAACATTCAATTCTTGATATTATATATTCACTATAGATGAAGATAATATTATCATATTTAAATGACATTTTATTGCTTAGATTTCCCTTAAATCCCTTGTAATAGCGACCTTTCGGCCTATGAACTGAATTTGACGTATATTCAAAATAAGCCTATGTAGGCCCCTGTGTAGGTCTTTTCCTTAGTGATGTTTATTCAAAGGGGAAAAAAGGAGTTATTCTTAAGTTCACCTTGGAAATATTAGCATGTTCAGTCTTTTAACAAAAGCATAACATGAGAAAAGTATAATGAACAACTGCCAATTATAGGTCTACCTAGGGGTACATGTCCTTTGAGGGTTAAAAATGCTCGTTGAGGGTTTTTTTTTTCAGGAAAAGTATTTCAATACAATAGGTGGTACAAGGTGTACCTAATCGAGGTAACCGTCCAGGTTGAAAGACTGTTTCAAAAAGGGGTATTTTTATAAAGAAAGTGCCGTTCAAAGGACTAACCATCAAGCGGGAAGATAAGATTGAAAATGTCCTTTCTGGTGTGGTTTATTTCGTGAAAAGTGCCTTCTATAGGTCCAGGAAATACCTGTCGGAGGGGGCGGGCATTTTCATGAAAAGTGTCTTCCTTAGATTGTCCATGGAGTACCAGATTAAGGGAAAGGGTGCAAATGCTTATCCGAAGGGTATATTTAAGGGGCAAAGAGCCTTTCATAGATGATATATATGATAATAAAGGGAAGTTTGTTGATTGCGATAATTCTAATGATTTTGATAAGAAGCAGAATGATGTTTATTGCAATGATGATAATGATGATGATCACGGTGATAGAAATCCTGTTGCGCCTGTTCCTCACAAAAAGGGATGGTTAATGACTTAAGACTTTCTATCATTATGTTGTTGATGGTGATGACGACGATGGTATAAGTAAGTTGATTGCAAATGATAATGATAACGTTGATAAAAGTGATGATTAAAAATGATTATGTTGATAGAAGTAAGGATTAGCAAGAGGATTTAGATTGTAGTTATGATGGTTATGATGAGCTGAAGTATGTTGATTGTGATGATGATTATTGTGTTGATATTGATTATGATGATAAGCAGAAGTTTGTTGATTTTAATGATGATGATTAATCATATGATGGTGGTGATCAGCAGAGGTATTTTAATTGTTTGTATTGTGATTTTCATGTTGATGATTGTGATGATGAGCAGAAATATTGTGATTGTCATGATGGTGAAGATGATATTGTTAACGATTGTGATTTTGTTGATGATTATGATGTTGAGCAAAAAGGATGTGCAAAGTGTCATGGTATAGACAGTTTATTAATATATGAAATGTACCTATAATTATCAGCTTGGTCATAAAAGCTGATAAATACCTATGTTACTATATATAGTAACACGATCTATGGTATTTCAGGGCCATTATGGCAAGATCTAGGTCATTATGCAATTTTGGCCGCCTTGCT